CGGATAAACAGGCTAGAAACTAATTCTCTAACATATCTTCAAATTTTCTAAAAGTTTATGATTATTTAAAAATTAAAAAAAAATACAGAAGGCATAGGTCCTCCTGGTGCCTTAGTCCATACATGGTTTAGCCTCCTGCAGCAAAGCAAAGTGAAGAAGACTGATGGGAGGATCTACAGGGACAAAGGAAAGATATCCCACTTACTCCCCAGTGACCTCCTAACATCCATTTGATCCTGTTGCCTGAACCAAATTAAAATCCATGGGACCTGGACAAAACCTGCACATGATGATCTCTGATATACTTGCTATTTTCTGTCTATTCCCTGGCTTCTTCCCATACTTTCTTATCCACGCCCTCTCACAAACACATGTATTCCTCTGGGATGACTGTTATCTTGTAGCCTCATCAAATCGCACAGTTGATGTCATTATCTATGTAGATTTTATAAACAGATGTAAACTAACTTCATCTCCTTCAGTTTTAAAACCTGAACATAGAACATTTCATGTAGTAGAAGCATCTCAATCCAACATGTTAAAACCAAACTCAATACCTACCCCACTACAGTGGGCACTGTTAGTGGACGACCAAGATTCTCCCCCACCCCCAATTGCATATCCTCTAAAATAACTTCCTAAAAACCAGATTTCTAAGGCACCCCTGACCTCTATCACAGTGCACTATTTTACTTGGGATGGTGAGCACACTGAAGCTCAAGACTAGAGGTCTAGCTGCTCTAAACAATTTGGATATTCCATTTCATGGCCAGAGGTGGTGTTTAATAAGGTCATGTGATCTAAGTAGTACCATTAGTGTGAATCTTAGATCTTTTCTTTGAAATACTGAGACAGAATTATTTTCCCCATGAATGTAAACCAGGGGCAAATACTCATTCTTTGATTCAGGTAGGCATCCTATCACAAAGGGGAATTAGAAAAAAACAAAAAACAAAAAACAAAAATCCAAATTACAATAGTGCCAACAACAAGAAAGATGATTTTTAAAATTAATTCATTAAATAATAATGAAATGGGTTCTTGACAATAAGTGGATCCTAGGACCAAAAACTGGAAGCCCTCTTTAACTTGTCTTCTAACTACCTAAGCCAATCAATTCCTTTATATCTAAGTTTGAGTTTGATTTTCTGTTACTTGCGGTATAACATGTAAAGGAGAGTAAAGTTAAATATAAAACTAGATGTGAAAATGTTATAAAACAACAAGAAGTTAACATACATGAAATCTAAGATAAGCAGGCCTCTATAAAAGAAAAGTAAAAATACAGAAAAACAAAATACCAGACAGGTTGGCATAATAACAGTTGGCACTGTCAAGATAAATGGGAAACCTAGCTTCCATATTTTCAAGATGTGATAACTGAAAGATCCCCAACTTTATATGGTCCAGAGTCAGAGGCGGGTAGGGACTACACCAGGGGAGAAATCTGGTAGAAATCTGGAGAGCCAAAGGAAGGAAACAGGAAACTTGGAACTTCCAAATTCTATACAAATATATAAAGACAAGCTTTCATACATAAGTGAAATTCTGAGGTATTTCAAATTATAGTGCTTTCCACTGGCTCAAATAAATCTATGTAATCAGCTTCACATTTGCATACCTTTTCTACTCATTCTGGCTGAGAAAGTAGTGGTGGTGTTCAATCCCATCTGGATATTTCTAAGCTGTACTAAAACAGCAGCAGTTTGGGGAGCTTGTTGTAAGTCGGCTACTACTTTCTGACACAAGAGAGGATTCAGCTCATCTCAAGCAAGGCACACAGAAACAGAGCTCTAAATTTCTTGGTATCAAATGTTGATAGGCCCACAGAGCCTTTCTGTCCTCCCAAGTCACCCTAGATAAAATCTCCAGTTGCCTTCTAGACCTTTTACAACCCCATCCCACAGGCAATCTGTCATTTATTCCTACTCAAGTCGGTTGAAACTATGCCTGGAATTCAGTCCTTTCTTCTCATTTCCAAGGCCAATGCCCAAGGTCACAGCCTTATCTCATATCTCAACTATTCCAATTGTCTCTTACCCAGTGTCTCTGTGTCTTATCTTTCTGCCTGTCCAATCCATCATTCAGAGGGCTACTAGCTCCTAGGAGAAAATAAGGAATGCATTTTATTTATCCTTTGTCCCTCCCCTATGTCTAGGCATGAAAATATCTGTTTAAATTATTCTATCCATGCCATTTCTCATTTGAAAAACTCTCTGATGGTATCCACTGGTTTCAGAAAAAGTTTGAAGGGCTTAATCTGCAACCAGGTCATTAAGGTTGTAAACCATACTCCCCATCATCAGAGTAGCTCACCACTTTCCCCCATAGGATGATCCAGTCATACTGAACTAGTAAATCTTGTGGAACACACAAGCAGTGAATTGTTATAAATGACAGGCTCTCCCTCTGTCGATTTCACTTTCCCTTGGCTCTACTTACAAAACACCTATAAGTTCTTCATGGCTCAAATGAAGTATCCTTTCCACCAAAAAATCTTCTACAATATTAGTTTCTAATTAAAGTTCTTCATCCTCTGAGCCTGCAGAAGATTTTCTTTAAATGTATATTTTGATATTCATATTGTGCTTCCTGGTTATACTAAATTTGGCGTAGGTTTACCCAGTTATTAGACTTCTTACCTAGCAATGAGCGAAGTATATTGTATATCAGCATGAGGCTGTCTTTCTCCTATCTGTGATTTCTCCACAAGATTCATTCTCGCATCCTCTGTATTTAACAAAATATATATAGTACACAGTACGCACCTGGTAAATACAGCTTGAGTAATTTACCAGTGGACTAAATGTTCTATGAGGACAGGTATTATGCCTTATTCATTTACACTTCTCACAGTGACTGGAAAATTGAGGAACAGAAGCTGCTACAGATTGAATAAAATACTAGGCTTAGACTGGTCTTCTGAGTAACCAAAATATTTGGCTAAACCTAGGGCAATCTGTCATTTTTTCATTCCAAAAGATCTATCGAGAACCTTGTAGTGCCAAATCTTATTCCAGGAGCTGGGGATAGAATTATAAACAAGATAAACCACACATATGCTGAGGTGGAGGAAACAGTTCTACAGCTAATAAATCAGTCTCACCAACCTCCCCAAAAAAGTTTTTCCTTAACTCCCAAATTTCAGTTCTTACCCACACAAATCTGAAACCTGAGAGTCATTATGGCTTCCCCCATACCTTGTTCAAGTGTTATTTGACAAAATGTAAAATTGCTACCACTGGATGATGATGGTGATGATCACATTATCTTCTTCCTCTTTAATTTCAACACTATTCTCCAAATTCAAGCCCTCATTTTGCCTTTTTGGAACAACTAAAATTGCTTCCTAACAACTCTTCCCATTTTTATGCTTCCCATCTCTGCATTCCCTTTCAATACTGTGAGAATAATTTTCTTAAAAAGCAACAATCTTACTATATTACAGCTGTGCTCAAAAGCCTTCAATGGCTTTGCAAACACAGGGAGAATACTATTCAGACTCCTGAACGTCATACTCAAGGAATCTTCCAAAATTGACTTCCAATTTGTCTGTCCAGATTCTTTTGCACTGTTCTTCCTACAATCTAGACTCCCACAAAATTAGCTTTTGATTTTATATCTTTGAACTTTTCACTTGCTAGATTTCCATCTATTTTATTTAACTCTTGCCTACATCTCAAGGTCCAATTCAAGGACCTTAAGTTTGTCTCTGATGTTCCCCTTCTGCATATGAAAGCTCAATATACTTTGTTCTTTCCCCTCTAGGCTTACCTGTTTCTACCTCACATTTTGATTATTCATAAATATAGCTTATGTATCCAACTAAAGCATACTTAATCATCAATAAATACTTAATGGGCACTTACGGTCTTTCCACTGCTCCAAAGTATCTAAAACATACCATATTCATAGTAAACATCAAACAAATTTTCAAGGAATGCAGGCAAACCTCAAAACAGAAGTATACCCAAAATCAAAATAATCTTTTTCTAAATATGGACAATAATCTCCACCAAAGAGATACATACAAGTGGTAGAAAACTGTAGCTCATCACATTTTAAATATATATGAAAGGAGGCAGAAAAGTTCATAGAAAACAGAATCAAATAAAAAGCTAAGAAAATTTATTCAAAGTAATATGGAAATGTTGAATCAATCTCACTCATTTCAGTATATGGATGTACCTCTCATTTTGAGATGCAAATACATAAACACATACACATTATGTCCATCAACTGGAAACTATATTCAGTGTCAAAATTTATTGAAATAAGAATCACAAGGAAATTTTTCCTAGTTGCCATTTAATAACTTTTGTGAAATTTAATAAAAGATTATGTGATGAAGTATTTTTTTCCTTTTCTTTTGTAAGGAAACAGCTTTAGAAGATGATTGATGCCTGCTATTATGGGTCTATATTTGTATTTCCTTATTTTAGAGGCTTTTTGAAATACAAAAATAAACTTAAAGCATTTCCAGTTATACTAAGAAAAAAAAGATAAAAGGTAGATTATTTATAGGCAATCATATTCATGATGATAGAGTCTCAGAAGGCAACTGCAAACATAAATTTTAAATGCTTTTTGGAAGGAGTTGAGAATAAAAACATTTACATAATTTCTTAGAAACCCTGGCTTTTTATTGCTGCACTTCAATATTCCCTTCAGGCAAAGGAGCAGCTACTTCAAAGATTTATTTGATAATGGAATGTTTGATTTCTTTGTTTTCCTTTCCAATGTGGAAAGGTCTATTGTTTTCACTCTATAGCAACATGCTATATTTTAAAATTTGAATTGACTCTCTACTGATAATAAAAAATGGTTCTCTTTTGGCAAATTAAACACACCAATGCTAGCAATGAGTATATATATTATAAATATACTATATTGTTACAAAAATGGTCCATACATGTTTCAGTGATCTTTGAAAACAGAACTGCTACTTCACAAATAATGTAACTAGTGACTAATATCAAATGTCTAGAACTCCCACTTACCTGCCTATCCACTTCTGGGAGCAAAAGCAGGAGGTATTGTTGAAAATGCTGAGGTAAGGAAGCAAATGTATGTTTATTTATTAATGCCCTCAAGTTAGTGTTGACAAGAATAGATCCCGGGGTTTCTATGTCAATGTCCTCAGCTTTGGTCCATTTCAAGTGTCCTGTGATAAACAAACAAGAGATTAATTCACTGTAGGCTTGGGAAAACACGCAAATATACATACACATATATGTATACATCAAACATATTCAATAATATGTTTAATTCTGTCACTTTTGAAAGTGACATTTCAGAAGGAACTCTCCCAAGTTTGTGTTTTTGTCTTGTCTTACTCGTCTTTTATTTTCATAATGTATACTTTACTCAATATTGTCTGTGTATTTTAGTCAAAGTAGACCAGGTCTAGATGAAGAAGTATTTTAATTTCGGTTTTCCAATTAATCAGAATTGTAAAAAGCTTTGGGAGCATAATGATAGCAACTATAATTATAGATTCTATAAGACCTTAGATCAATAATAACAATAATAACAGTGCTGTTAATTTTAAAAGCGATATTGACAGCTAGCTGAGAGCTGTGTGATTCTCTATATTTTAGGCAGAGCACTGAGCACTGGATTATTTCAAAAGATTCCTATTCGGAGTATTTTGCGAATATAATTTAAAAAGCAATCCTTTATAAAAAATATTAGTTTCAAGGTCTAAAATACCAATACACTTTGAAGGATAATTCTACGAGTCAAGATACACTGACCTCCAACAGAAGGTTATGTGTAGAGTGTACAACTCAAAATTATGACATAAGAAAATAATCCACTCTAACAGACAGCTGAGCATCATACAGAAGAATTGCCACTTTCAGTTACCTGAGTTAAGAGAACACCCTGAATGTGAGTTGTTTTAATAGAGTATGTTTTAAATCAAGGGTCAGCAAATTGTGGCCCATGAACTATATTCAGTCCAATTATTGTTCTGGTAAATAAAGTTTTACTGGAACACAGTAAATGTCCGATTTTTAGCTACTGCCTAGGTCTGCCTTTGCACCACAATGCAGAGTTGAATAGTTGTGCCAGAAATCACATGACCTATATTCACTCCCCAGCCCTTGGCAGAAAAAATTGCCAACTCTTGTTTTAAATAAATAGAGACAAAATACAGAATGAAAACCATTTATTAACAAACAGGGAACCATGACAAAAGAATAGGCAACTTTGAAACAGAACTAGACAGAACAGTTAGAAATGAAAATTTAGTTTTTAAACTAAAAAAGTAATGGACACAGCAGAGGAAAGAATTCCAAACAAAATACAGAGCTGATAAAAATATCTACAACGCAGCATAAAAAATGAGACAAAAAACAGGATAGTGAAGAAATACAGAGAAGGATATAAGCAATCAGAATGAACATCTTATAGAAGACTCAAAACCAGTAGATGGAGGACAGGCAATATTTGTGGAGCTAAGGGCTCACATTTTTAGAACTTTTCTGAAAAAAAAATTATGAGTTCTCAGATAAAGCAATACACCAAATCTCAAGAAGGACAAGTTTTTGTCTGATGTGCTGAAATTAAAAACATCAAAAATAAGAAGAGTATCTTATAACAATCTTTAAGAAAAATAAATTATATCCAAAGGGATGATAATAAGACACAGATATTTTATCAATGAATAACAGGTAGCACTAAAATATCTTCAAAGGATCAAGAGAATACAAGCATCAATCTAGATGATAGCTCAGTCAAGTACGCATCTGACTCAATTTCACCTCAGATCATGATCTCAGGGTCCTAGGATTGAACCCCTAGTCTGGCTACGAAATCAAAAGGGAATATATTTGAGATTCTCTCTCTCCGCCCCTCTCTGCCTCTCCCCTACTCCTGCTCACTTTCTCTCTCTGTCAAATAAATAAATAAATAAATAAATAAATAAATAAATAAATAAATAAATAAATAAATATCTTTTTAAAAAACCAAAACAAATATTTTCAGGATCTAAAATGGGAACTCTTTCCTTTAAAGAATGCTCCTAAAATAATCACTAGTAGATAATCTCATCAAATGGAGAAATTAAATGAAAGAAGAAATGGAGGGGTTGCAGAAGCTATGGTCAACTGAAAGACTAATAGATCAGAGGAGCTCCAAGTATATATTAACTGTGAAAAATAATACTAAGAACTAGTGAGAGTTATATAAAGGAAATAAAAAAGTTAAATAAAAAGAAAATAAAATGGAAAATAACTGCATGTATGATAAGACAGCATGACCGAAATGCCAGCACTAACAAACCCTGGCCTGATTTGGGAAGGAAAGAGATGTGGACTAGTTCTTTACTTGGTGAAAGCTCTAGAGGTGACCACTAGAGGCAATGAGAAAGAGTAATAACTCCTAAAAGAATACCTGGGGAAAAAATCTCAATGAATCAAATGGAAAGTATAAAAGCAGGAGGAAAAAACTCAAAAGCAAGTCCAAGAAAATCAAAATACAGATTTTCATTCTAGATTTTTAATTTTTTTTACTGAAGTTTGATTTGCCAACATATAGTATAACACCCAGGGCTCCCATCATTCTAGATTTAGAAAGCAATACAATCCAGCTATATGCTGCTTATAAGAAAAAAAAAACTTAAAAATCATAACGAATACATGAAAATGAAAAAGATATACCAGGTTGAGACTCAAGCAACAAAATAGTACAACAATATTAACATCAGACAACATAAGCAAAGGTAGAAAATCTTATTGGGGGTTAGAAGGATCATTAAGTGTAAAAGGAATAATTCACTGAGAAGATATAATGACCTTAAATCTGCAAGCACTTAAGCACTCTCTTAACTAAAAAGAGAATGTGACATTATACAATGCTAGTGGGAAGTCTTAACATCTTACGCCAGAAACTGAGACATCAGACAAAAAAAAAAATCTGTCTTAATAAGAGAAGTTTAACAATTCAATAATCAATGTTGACCAATGAATTTAACATAGGGCACTGCACTGAGCCATTAGAGAAAGCAACGTTTCATCATTACTCAGGGAACAGTAAAACAAACAAAAACCTGACCAGTGAGTCACTACAAATACATTTAATTAGGTAGTTATAACACAAACACAGCAACTCTCCAATTCTCCCATACTCATTATATATTTGGACACTCAAAAGCATTCTTCTAAGTATTTCATACATTAAAGAAAAAAAATTAATGGAAATTAGAAAATACTTGGATTCTAAATGACAATGCCAAAATTTGTGAAATGTAACTCAGTTTAAAAGGTAAATTGTATTTATTACAGATTAGAAAAATATTGAAAATTCAAGGTTAAGTGTATGAATCAAGAAGTTAATAAATGAACGAAAAATTTGAGAAGGAAGGATTACAAAAATAAAATGACTTGTATATAGTCATAAAACAAAAAAGAAAGACAATGAAGACCATCAACACCAGGAAAAGGGGTTTTGCTTTTATATTAGACTAATAAAATAGATATACCTCTGGTAAGACATGGTAAAAAGAGGAATGAAAGGTAGGAACATAATTCGAGATATAGTATACAAGACACATATAATGGAAAATTGATTTTAAGCTGTGTAATATGATCCTATGACTATTGAATATCTCTGAAGACCAACAATTTTTAAGTTACAAATATTATTAAATTTAATTTAAAATTAATTTAATAGAAAACCTGAATAGATTTGCAAAAACTTTTGAAAATAGGCAACCTCCTCTACCCCACATACAGAATACATATTATAAACAGCCCTAAAGATGAGTTTCACCAATCCATTAAGGAACTCTCCCACCATTTCATTTTGTAAATATTCCAGAGAAAAGGTTTATAAAGAAAGATTTTCAATTCACTTTATGAAGTTAATATAATCTTTATTCCAAAATAAGGGCAGCCCCGGTGGCTCAGCGGTTTAGCACCACCTTTGGCCTGGGGTGTGATCCTGGAGACCTGGGATCGAGTCCCGCATTGGGCTCCCTGCATGGAGCCTACTTCTGCCCCCCCCCCTCTGTCTCTCATGAATGAATAAATAAAATCTTTAAAAAAAATAAGAACAGTATAAGAGGAAAAAAAGATCAACCAATATGACAAAAAAAAGTACAAAAGTTGTATCATTTAGAAAAAAAATCTAAAGCAAATTTAACAAATTCTAACATTTGTTTAGTCAAGGAGCTAGGTATATAGGTGTCTGCTTTATTAGCATCCACATTTTTCAATATTTTTAAAGTATTTCACAACTAAAAATAAAAGACCACAAGGAGAGAAGAATTAGGGAGAAGCTTCTTTTCTTAGCAGTGGAGGCATAGGCGAAACCTAGAGACAGAAATGTTTAGGCACATAGGAAAGGAGTCCGCTTAATTGTCATTTATGACCTAAATAATCTCATATGAAGGAGTTGAGGTCATTTACTGAGCATGATTCTGACTGGGGAGGAGTGTTGGGGAAATGGGAAAATTCGAGGACTTTGAAACATATGTTATAAGCAAAGCAAGAAGCAGGACTTATGCTATTGGTTACTATTTAGAATGGTTCAAAATCTTTAAGAATAACATTGATAAAAGAAGATTCAGAGAGGTACATAAGCTTTAATGACATATCCAAAGGAAGATCTATTTCAAACATGTCTAACTAAGCAAGAACATGTTCCATAATTTTGGAACAAAGAGCAGATGAACTTATTGCTAAATGTGTAGCCACACAGGAAGTTTAATCCCATTTTAATTATCTTTACACACTTACTCTTAATTGGCTTAAGAACAATCCAATTATATCTGATTGTCTTATCTCATTAGAACTGGTACCTCATCTCCCTACAGCATTCAGAGGAAGAAAAATATGTCATTTTAGTGTCTAATTCCTGGACAGCAGAGAGAATAAAGTAGCTGAATTCCAGAGAAGGAAGGAAGGGAAGCATCAGTTGTCAAATTGCCACAATAAGGGTCTATGCCATACAAGAAGACACTAAGCTGACCCCATGATAAAAACCATGGGGAATATATCCAATCAGGGTCAGGGAAATTCTCTATTACTTTGACCAAAGGGAGTTCAAAGACCACCAATCTGAGTAAAGGCTGCAGCCTCTTGGTCAATGGGTAGTCTGTAGGCTTAAACACTCCTATTTCCCAGAAAGGAACACAGAGGATTTATGCATAAAATGCAC